GGCATATCGCCGAGCTGAGGAAGCTGGGGGGTTACCCGGCCCTTGGGGTACAGATGGAGGAGAGGGATCCTCCTGGGACGGCTGGAGTGGGGACGAGGAGACACTACCCTTGATCTCCTTGGAAGAAGCTTTGGACCCTGGACTAGGGTCTGTGCCACCTACAACCGGCCCCTGGAATCCAGAGACGACGAACCCTTTTGTACATAGTTTATGGACACCGTTGAAACCAAGTCATGTTTTACAAGAATCCCTGAACCCCTTTGTGGGGGGAAACCCAGTTGATGTTAATGTTGAAATAAATGCAGAACCTTTTGACCTACCGCCAATGCCTCGTCCGTTTATTGAGGAGAAAACAGCCCACCCCAACGAACCCCCACATTGACAGCAGCTTGCATACATGTTAATTACGTCTTGTTGATTATTCACAGTTGTGAGGGCAAGGTTTTGACAGGAATTCTTGTCAGACTGAACTTAGCAATGCTCTTGAAATAATTTATAAAAGTTATAATACATAGATGCATAAATTACAAAGCATTATTTTTAATGTGGAACTCCTAAGCCCTATTCAGGTAATCAAAACTATACATCATCTTCAGCACTATGATTATGTTTTACTTTTTAAGCATTGCTAGAGCATAGGGAAAACCAAAGAGACAAGCCTAACAGCAACAACATTTAAATCCCAGATTCTTCTAGAAAAGGACAGATTATAAACTCAATAAAAGAATTAAAACATGTAAAACCAAAGATAACTGTTAAATGATAAAATAAAATAAAACCAATCCTGCCATAAAAATAATTAAAATCAATTTAATGCATTAAAAACATTAAAATCAACAAAGGGTTGATTTTAAGTCTAGTATTTAGACTGAAATAGGCTCTATTTAGTTGTAACTAAATGAAGTATACTTGCCACAGAGAGAGGGAAATGCTTTAGTACAGCCCTCTCCATGTGCAAAGTTGACATCTTCCTATAAAGAGCAACAAATCTAAACAGGAGAATCTCTGCTTTCTTTGGCGGGGGAGGGTCTCCATCTGAGTCAGGAACCTTAAAAAATCTGTATTCCAACTGGCTTGAGGCATCTTTGCAGATAGTGGTGGCACCTTGACCACTGACCATGCTATGGAGGCATATAAGGGAGTTTTTTTCTGAAACATTTGGAAGGCATCTTGCTGGGAAAAGATGGATTTCAGTAATAGAGATGCCCAAATATCTGGTGTTAAACACTGAAGATGTCCCATTTGCTTTATTAGGATATCACACTATTTTAAATTTTGATACTTTAGCTTCCATCGCAATGAATGATAGTTTATCCAGCTTCCATTGCAATGAATGATAGGCATTTAAGTTGAATGTACTGCAGAAGTGTTTACTCAGATATGGAATCTCAGTCTTACTGGTGTGTTTTACTAGATTCCTACAAGTTCTTGTTCCTGTAATAGTAAGTGTCATTCACCTTCCCTCCTTATTGCTCTAAGTTTTTATTCAGCCAGAGTTGCAGCTAAGATGCTTGCTCTGACACCAAGGTCATTAATCACATGATGGTTTGATGGATGCTTATATGAGTATACTGGACCAGGACTTGTTGTGTAACTGGTGATTTTTTTTCTCATCTTTGTAGAAAATTTAGACACTTTCTGTCTGATTAAATATATGTTTTTATATGTATGTGTGTTAGTGGGATTCATTTTAGTTTAATGTAACAAATCAATACACTTTCCAGAGAAGCAGACATGTTAATCTTTGGTGGGGAAAATAAGAGTCTTGTGGCACTTTCTAAAGACTAATAAATTCTACTGCAGCATAAACTTTAATGGAATAGAGTTCATTTCACCACACATATAAATTATGTACTCCTACTTGGCAGATATCTGCACATTGGTTTAGAGGAAAAAATGTAAACAACTGAGGTCAGATGTAAATGAAACACATTAAAAGTCTGACAACTCTGTTGAATATTAAAGCCTAAATCCAATGTATAATGCTAATGGAATAATAATTTCAAAAAAGCCTTCTAGCTCAGTTGCTCTGGATTGTACTGTAACTCAAGTATTTGTACAACTGCTTGCATAGAAATGTTAGCAGCCTTTGTGCTAACTCTGAAAATACACAGACACAAGTGAATCAGAGCTTATATTAGTGCAGGACATCATTGGATACATACCTAAATGTATGAAAAATAACCAGAAATCATTTAGGACAGCACTAACTGATAAAACTGACATTCTAATCCTAAAGTAATCAGTGTGTCTTGTAAACCAGGGCAAAACATAAACCTCCCTCACAATTCAAGCCAGATGTGACACACAACTAAATTTATTTCAGTTCAGTCCTTTCACTTATCAAGAATGCCCATTTTCAGGCCAGCAGCAGTGTGTCGTGGAAAACGGAATTCTTTTATCAGTGATTTTTTTTGTTATTGTGTCCATTTATGCTAGTGTGCTGCTGAAAAGTTTTTATTCTTCGTACAGCCCATGTATCTGATGAAGCAGATGTGTGTAATTGAAATATGTAGATATATATCTGCATGTAACTGAAATGGCTAAATGCTCATTTATTATATGAGCATATATTTCAATTTTACCTCTTTCTTCATTTGGTTCCTGTATGAGATTTTAAACTTAGAGTCCTCAGGGGAGGGGCATGACAACATACAAATAATAACATGTTTTTCCTTGTTTTTTGAAAATCAGATCTAATTAGTATGTTTAATATTCTAGCTGAAAAAGCAAGTGAAATATAGAACTTTCAGGGCAGTCAAAATGTACCTGAATTGAGTTCATGTATACAGTAATATGGCTGTTTGGGGGGGGGGGGTTGTCTTAGCATGTTTAATTCTGATAGCAACTCATCTGAGATTTCTGTGATTTTTTTGATAATATTCAAGTGGCTCCTGAGGCAAAATGTATTTTTTTCATATTGGCTATAATCCTACTAGTCTAGTGGGTTTAGGCGGTTAGGAATAAGCCCAAAGAAGGCAGAAATGAACTAGTGCCTGCAGCGTTTTCTCCACGTGCCTGATCTAAGATCTATTGGAAGAGGGATCTACCAGCAGAACTGCTTTGCCAGCTTACATCTATGGACAGAAGGCCGGCCCCACGCAAAAAAAGATAGAAAGGGGGAGGAATCAAGCTATACTGTATAAACACCCTCTCTAGCACAGAAACAAAGCCGTATGCTTGCTCAAAGTTAGGCAAGATGAGAGCAGACTGAAGTAAATTCCAGTGCCCCTAGACTGGAAGAAATTTGGATTTGGCATAGCTTTAAGTAGAATAGGGCCAGTTCAAAAAGCCGTTAGCCAGGGTTGGCTAGGATTGTGCCCAAAATTCTTGTGTTCCCATATAAGTAAAAAGCGTATGCTTTAATCATGTGGTTGATCCCTATTCTGTAGTGTGATCTAATGTTTATATCAGCATTCCTCTCCCCCTTTATAGGTAGAAGGGAGGATGTGCAAGTTGGGGGGAAGAGGTGATTTTTCATAAGAAAATGTACCTTTGATTATGTGATGTGGTAATGCTTTGTCAAATACTTCCATCTTTTTCTAAGAGAAGGTATACATAGTGCTTGGGTTTCAAAATGAACAAAAAGTGGGCCCTTCTACCACCTTTCCTCCACTGCAGGAAAGTCTCCTTGAACATTAAACCTAGCAAATCGTTTTCTTCCTTGTTAAGGAATCGTTGAAGCATTCAGCACTTCCCCCAAATACAATGATGCCTCTTGCAGATAAATGGCCTTTCAAAATCTGAGACCGCTTATTAGAAGCGATAGTGCTTGTGCTTCTTGTCATATGAGAAAAATGCCAGCTTTGACCCTGAACAAAATGGGTCTCTGTTGTTGAAAATGTGCCAGTGATGGCATAGGCTGTTTGCATGAGTCACTGCAGAACATAGTAGTGCTGTACTTGTAAGGGTGGGAACTTTAGCAAGTCCATGGACTAGTTTTCTATCTCTGGGATCCTCCAGGGGTTTCCAAGACTGCCAGTGGTGCCAGAAGCCTTGAAAATGAAACTGGAAATGGTGCAAAGACCTTTTCTGATTTAAAAAACTGGAACTTTTAAGATGTTAAATAATAACAGGAATGGGTGTGTGACCTATTTAAAAGAGCAAAAGCTACCCCTAGGATCTTCTAGCAGCTGATATTCACTTCTCTTTTTGCAATAAAAAGAAGGGGCCAGGGAATACTTGGGGCTGGAAAAATAAACAACTTTTAGAAGTCACATAATGCCAGAGAGCTGTGCTTTTCACACTCCTGTTGTGCTTTAAAGAGAAATGCATGGTACAAATGAACAGCAGAATACAGTATTCATTTTGAGAGATTGTGTATGCTGTTCAATAGGGAGAGTTGGTTCTGGGAAACTCGAAATCCTGTCTGTGTTTCAGAGACTGAATTAATCCTAACAAGAATATGCCAACAAATATGGTAAACAGAACAGAAGTCCACAAAATGGAAATATTCAATATGTATTCCAGTTCCTATTGAAACAATACACCAAATTGTTGCTATAACTGTGAGACAATTGCATTGATTACCCATGTAAGTATAGTAGTACTCAAGATTTTACAGCAAATATTATTGCTTTGGTTTGCTCTGGTATATTTCTTACTCTTTTGGTTTTTATTTTTGACTTGCTTCTTGACATTTTTTCATGGATTGTCTTTTGATTTTCAGTTATTTGTTTTACTGGCTTTACTCCTCAGGTTGGATTCCATGGCATGATTTACTCCAATTTCCCAGGTTCGGTTTCAACTTAGGCCATTACCAGAGTCTAGTTAAATCACATGAATAGAATTGAGAAACTTCTGTGAGCTAGAGGAGAGTGAAAGCCAGTATCAAGCAAATGTTTGGATCCTACAATTCTGCCTTTGTGCCTCCCAAGTACCTCCACCACCCCCTTTTTTTTTTGGAGGGCAGTTTCTTTTGGCACAATTGCCTGTCCGGGGGTGCATTTCTCTGAAAAAAGAAGCAAGACTCCCACGTGTTATTTCAATAGAACATTATTCCCTCCCCCATGGAAATGGCTTATTTGAAACCAAAAGTGATTTTCCAGTCACTTCCATTTTCACCTAGAGGGGCTGGGGTGGCCTCTAGAGCAGTGGTCCCCAACCTTGGGGCTCCAGATGTTCTTGGATTACAACTCCCAGAAGCCTTCACCACCACGTCTGCTGGCCAGGATTTCTGGGAGTTGAAGTCCAAAAACATCTGGAGGCCCAAGGTTCAGGACCACCGCTCTAGAAGAAATGACCATTGGATCATCGGAGCTTTGTCACCCTGAAATAGCCAATTATGACATTTTTGGTTTCCGAAGAGGGGCCCCCTATTTCTCTGAAGATATCCAACTGTCACATTACTCAGCCTTGTATCTCTCCTTCATGCAGGGTCTTTAGAATTCGGCAGTGTACATAACAAGTTTCATCATGTCCCTTTTGTATTAATGTGTTGGGCTTGATTTTGGTTTTTTTTTTGCATTGCATACATAGGCAGTAATATAAACGTAAATGTGTAGCTGTGACAGCCATGAGTGAGCAGAGGCAACTGTGAGATTGTAGACCATGGATATGTCCTTAAAGGTAAAGGTTCCCCTTTCGACTCTAGGGGGCGGTGCTCATCCCCGTTTCCAAGCCATAGAGCCAGCCTTTTGTCCAAAGACAATCTTCCATGGTCACATGGCCAGTGCGACTTAGACACAGAACGCTGTTACCTTCCCACCGAGGTGGTCCCTATTAATCTACTCGCATTTGCATGCTTTCGAACCGCTAGGTTGGCGGGAGCTGGGACACGTGACGGGCTGCTATATTTTAAAGAAGCTAAGGATATGTCCTTAGCTTCTTTAAAATATAGCAGTAAAATCTCTGTGGAAAACAGTGCTGAATATTAGGCAAAGCAGAATGGACTGCAACTGTTGTCTGAAGATTAGGCCCATCAAACTTCACTAGACAGGTTTTCCACATCTGCAACTGTTGTCTGAAGATTAGGCCCATGAAACTTCTTCACTAGACAGGTTTTCCACAGAATTAGAAGGGACATACTTTTAGTGTAGAATTGGAATGATTTTATTGAAATATGATTTAAAGACTAGGTTTATGCGGATGTAGATTTACTTACATTTTCAGTTTGTGTTTTTATTGATCTTTGTATACCAAACTAAGATAAAAACTTTTGAATGTGTTCAAAGGATTTGGTGCTGCTTCAGAGTTTTACCCAGCCAGCCTATGGAATAACTGCAGTTATAGTCAATTGGCTGATTCTGTGCATTCTTTTCTTCTTGTTCTCTTCTAGACTGTACAGTTTGTTCAGGGAATTTTTGTTGAAAAATATGACCCTACAATAGAAGACTCCTACAGAAAGGTAAAGTATGAGGTCCTATTTTCTTTACCTCCTCCTTGTTCTGTAACTTTGGAGATGGGCTTTTCAGTTTCTAAGTGGCATACATTTCATGAACATTTCCACATGCATTTCCAGCTACTGGCATCTTCACTGTAAGAATCAAGTTTCTTTATCGTTAGTTCTTGTATAGAGAAGGATTACAGATAATCTTGGAAATTTCAGTCACCTAATCTGGATGGATTTTTCAGTTATTGAATTGATGTGTAAACAACTTTCCATAACTAAAAGAAAATGTGGAAGCTGTTGACTGGGCTGTTGATGTGTGTGAACACGTGTGCTGTTTTCTTGCCAAAAAATCTGATCAAAACTGCTATTTTTCCCCAAAATTGTTATTGTGATGGCTGCAATTCAGTAGCAAGATGCAACTAGAATAGGCCTAATGAATCAGTGCAGATTTGGTGTGTCAATGCCCCAATGACTTTCATTGATTCAATGGGCTGACTTTAGTTGTGGGCATCTTCACTGTAAGAATCAAGTTTCTTATGGTTTATCGTTAGTTCTTATATAGAGAAGGATTACAGTGGGGTCTTGACTTGAGAACTTAATCCGTATTGGAAGGTGGTTCTCAAGTCAAAAAGTTCTCAGGTCAAATCTGCATTTCCCATAGGAATGCATTGAAAACCATTTGATCCGTATCTGCTCTTTTGCCTGGTTTGGACTTGTTTGTACAAACAGTTGCTTAAAACAATCAAGATGAAGACAGATATTCATTTGGTGAGCATATTTCCTGTTCTACGCCCTGTGTCACTGAAAGCACAACATGTAATAAAACCTGTTAAAGGGGGGGGAATGGTGGCTGTAGGTCGAAAAGTCTGTAGGTCGAGTCTCTATTGACCTACAATGCATTGAAAACCAATTAATCCATAACCGGCCGTTTTTGTTCCATTTTGGTGTTTTTCTGGTCTGTAAGTCGATTCTCTGGCTGCAAGTCAAACCTAAATTTTGCGGCCAGAGAAGTCTGTAACTCGAAAAGTCTGTAAATGGAGCCATCTGTAAGTCGAGGGTCCACTGTACTGGATTTCAGCCAGTGACTCCTTTATGAGTAAATAACTTTAGAATATTTTCCCATACACAGCTTAGATAAGTTAAGAGTTTTGAGCTACTGTTGCTAGAACCACTAGCCAACATGACCATTGTACACCAAAAAGCTAACATTTTGAAACTCTGGGAAAATTGTATAAGGGAGAAAGAAGTGTCAGATCTTACACTGTGGTCCTTGCCTGGATTGGACTTGTTTGTACCAACAGTTTCTTAAAACAATCAAGATGAAGACAGATATTCATTTGGTGAGCATATTTCCTGTTCTACGCCCTGTGTCACTGAAAGCACAACATGTAATAAAACCTGTTAAAGGGGGGGGAGGTAACTAGAGATAGCACAGTTTTATTCTATATCAGCTGCCTGTTCCCCTGCTGATTGGATGTGCATGCTTGGATGCTACTTGTCAAATGGGTATTGCTTTTTTTCTCTCTTCCAAATGTAATGATAATAATAATAGTCTCTGTGTTCTGTATCTTTCAGCAAGTGGAAGTAGACTGTCAACAATGTATGCTTGAAATCCTTGATACAGCAGGGACGGTAGGTAAATCTATTGTGAAGATTGAAAGACTTAATATTTGAAGAAGGCAAGAAGAGCCTTCTCCTTTTTCTCGATGTATGTTATGTTGCAATTTCTCTGGCTGAAATCCCATTGAAAGCCTAACTTCAATCCCACAAGCCTAACTTGATGTTAGGTGGCTGCAATCGCACCAAAGTGGAAGTGCTGTTTGTGAAGCACTTCTGTCAGTGTGTTGTGCAGTCAGTCAAAACAGGAACTGTATGTCCAATTGAGCAATTGACTTTCTCAGTCCTTGTTGCTGGGGGGAACATGCTGCACATTTAAGATAGTGCAATGGTACATTGTGCCTTGATGAATAGAATTCTTGTCTGTGTTTTTCTTTATGTCATGCTAAATTGTTAGTGATTTTTTTTTACTTTTCATAAAATAACCTTGTTTCAATCATCACAAGATGTACAGCTCTTATTAGGAGTGTAGGATGTAAAGTTTTTATTAGGGAAAAACTGAAATATCATTATACAGAGATTTTGGGTCAAAATGCAGGATTTCATTGAGATGACTTTTCATTAGAATGTAATGCTTTTAAAGTGTCATAATGCTAGTGGTAAACATTGTTGATTTAAAGAGGACAGTTTAAGCATATACTAGGGACATGGTGGCGCTGCAGGTTAAACTGCAGAAGCCTCTCTGCTGCAAGGTCAGAAGACTAGCCGTTGTAAGATCGAATCCACGTGACGGAGTGAGGTCCTGTTGCTTGTCCCAGCTCCTGCCAACCTAGCTGTTCGAAAGCATGTAAAGTGCGAGTAGATAAATAGGTACCACCTCAGTGGGAAGGCAATGCCGTTCCATGTCTAGTCGCGCTGGCTATGTGACCACAGAAACTGTCTTCGGACAAATGCTGGCTCTATGACTTGGAAACAGGGATGAACACCATGCCCTAGAGTTGGACACGACTGGACTAAATGTCAAGGGGAACCTTTACCTGGAGTATTAAAAACAGACTGCACTGAATTTCATTAAGGGAGGGATAGGAAACGTGCTTGGACTCTATTTCCCATCAGCCCCAAAGAGCATGGCTAGTGGCTATGTATGATGGGAATTGTAGTCCAGCAGCATTTAGAAGGTCAGATGTTCCTTACTCATATCTTGAAGCCTGCAGTTCATCCTTGGATTTCCTCAAAAGACTTTCTCAAGTCCTTCTTCATCTAAATATTGCTATACTGATCAGAGTAGAAAATTATTTTTGTTGCATTTGTCATTTTTCTATTCTGCTTTTTCCCCAATGTACACAAGGTGACTCCTTCTGCACTTCACTTTTACAAGAAACCTGCAAGGAAGGTTAGGGTGACAGTCTGGGGCTTGCCCAAATATTATGCTGGAATGGAGATTTGAACTCAGGTCACCTCTGTAGGGATGTACCATTTTTAATTACAAATCCTAGAGGGAGTCCCACATAACAGATACACCTACAGACACCTACATATGGCTACCTGGGAGAAGGGCCTAAGTTGGAAGGTTTTGTGGCCCAGCCTAGGCCTAGCTCCATCTAGTTTCCTGTTCAAAAAGGAAGCTACCAGCAACTTACCAGGGCAGCTTCCTTTTTTAACAAGATGCTAGATGGAGCTAGGCCTACACTAAGCCATCAAATTTTCCAGTTTAGGCCTTTTTCCCAAGTAAGCCACACTTAGGTGCCTATAGGTGACTGTCTGTCAGATAGGACTCCGAGTGTAGCATCCTGGGATTTGTAGTTCAAAACATGAAGGGCACATCCTTACTCCTGAGTCTTAGTTCAGTACTCATCAATTACATCACAATGGCTCTCAAGTGAGTTTGCATTATGAATTTTTTTTACTAAGAAACTGGAAATAGGCTTACTTTATGCATTTAATATGCATCTGCTTCTTCTTACACTGTTTGCCATGGACACAATCTGTTTGTGGTGTGTATTCTGTTATTGACTTAAGCTCCGCATGTGTATACATGCATACATCTGTGTGAAAAAATGGAAAGGAGGAATGGCAGAAAAATGGAGCTGCCGCTCACCGTAGAAGCTGAGGCATATTTCTGCAGAAATATCATTAAAGGTCCCCGCACACCATTTGGGTCATTTTTAAGAGGGTATTCAGATAACTGGCTTCTCTAAAATTAAATTCACATGCTTCACTGGATTTCTGAAAAAGCAAAGAGTGGAAATTAGAAATTGGTTGTGACATGTTTCTTTTTGTCTCTGATTAAACCCCAGTTTTTCTCTCTGTGTATATTAAGCAGCTGATTATACTTAACTGCTGTTTTAAAAAATACATATATATGTCTCTGTGTGTGTTTGGTTACAGGAGCAATTTACAGCAATGAGGGATCTCTATATGAAGAATGGTCAGGGATTTGCACTAGTATATTCTATTACAGCACAGTCCACGTTCAATGACTTACAAGACCTGAGGGAACAGATCTTACGGGTCAAGGACACTGAAGATGTAAGTAAATGGGTTTTTATTTTGTGCATCATTGGAATCATCATCTTTTGTTGCATGGGATACAGGACTGAGGAACACTGTTCTGGAATGTTTTGTGTGATGCATTAAAATTGTTTGAGAGACCATTTTTTTATTCACATAGGCATTACTGGAGAGTTATTCATGAATGTCCAGCATTCTCCACTGTAGTTGAACTTTTAAAAAGTTCAAGTGCCATGAGAAGCAACATTTTAATAGTCATATTATAGCTCACATGCTGACACTCAGATTTTCTTCTTCCCTTGTAACTAAAACACTCAGATTGTTAGATGGCTAAAAGCTATATTTCAGAAGTAGTAAAACAGGTGGATTTGAATGTTTCTAATTTTTGAACCCATGAAGTTGTTCATAGGCTAGAAATCATAGTACTACCAAAGTTAATTAGCCTAAATCCAAAATTAATATGAACAATAAGTGTGTGCCATCAAGTTAATTCTGACGTATGGAGACCCATTCCAGGGTTTTCTAGGTAAATAATATACAGAGGTGGTCTACCGTTCCTTTCTTCTGGGGGCATCCTGTGACTGTGCAGCTTGCTCAAGGCCACAGAGGCTGTCTCTTCTCTCAAGAGGCACAAGTGAGGAATCTAACTCTGGTACCACAGCCAAATACCTAAACCACTGAGCTATCCAGCCAGCTAAAATAACACAAGTGTAGTGAAAATCCCTGCTAGCACAATTGCACTGGATTATGCTTTTGCACCAGTATTTGTCCAAATAATTGAACAAGAGTTTTTTGTGAATGGTTGCAAAGCCATTTGTTTGCACTCTTTTGGATATTTTGCACTAACACTGACAATGTGCAGTTGCTTCTAGAACTGGTAACATTGTTGAATGCAGGGTATTATATCACATGCTATATAAATGTTGCAAACAGTTCTCCAAAAGTTAAGGGAACATGGCTCTCTTGGTTAATTTATTCACTTTTTGTGAAGAAAATGTCTTAATGATGCACTATTAAATTAGATCACACTAGAAGAAAAATTTGTTATGGACTGTTCTGTTCATTTCTTTCCAAAAAAATTCTATTTGTACATTAATTGTGTGAAATATAGGATCTTCCTGTGTCGCCATCATCTTTAGATTTGCCACTGCAGCAAATGTCGGTAGCAACTTGTCAGGGCTCCAAATGTGCTATTGGATGTGGTGGACATGTTGTTGCACCAATGGAAAGCTCTTGTGGAAGCTGAAATAGCGTGTCCCCATAAGAGAATGTGGATTCACATTGTTTCCTTGACCTGCCTTCCAGTAGATAGCAAACCTTCATTAGCTCTGGAACTGTTGTGGCTCTTTTTTGTTACAGTTAATGGGAAGGCTGGGGGGAAAAAGATGTGGGGAGGAGAATAGAAAAATCCTCTCCTTCACTCACTTTGGCCACCATACTTTTCATGCTGGATTCTCTTACCCAACTTGTGGCTGCTCCTTTCTGGACTGCAGTTCCCATCAGTCCTGTCTAGCACATAGCCAAGGGTGTGGACAGTTGCAGTTTGGTAACATCCACAGGACCATATGTTGCCCACTGCTGCTTATAGAATTACTCTGGTGAATCACCTTCCTAGATCCGTACTGTCGATACGTGACGCAGCAAGGAATCTAATTCAAGCTGTCCTGTTTATCTGTATGTGGTTTTTTCCTGCACTATCCTTTTTCATTGAGTTCCTCTGTATAGGTGCCCATTTTCTGTATAGCCTATAGGTGCCCATTTTCATTTGCATCAATATTAATAGCTATTATCTAGTATCTTGAACTTGGCAAGTGATTATTAAAGTCACATACATTTATTTTGAGGGGCTTCAAAACAACATCAACCGTGTGCTTACAATAAGTCCACTATTTCCTTATGACGTATTAAAAATAGAATTTCTTAAAAGCATAATTGAAAGAAACTGTGTTCAGCATTTCTGGGCACAGTTTAAACACGGTGGTTGTCTGAGGCATTAACTAAAAGGGAAATTTAAAACGTGTACTTGCTACTTAAAAGTATCTGTTCCCATTGCTAAGCTTGGCCTTGGTTTTCACATCAGCATTAGGATTCTGACACATTTGGACTTCTTTCGGTCCTCCACACATACTGTTTCCAACAGAGTTTGGTGAAGTTACATCTGGAGCCCAGTGCCCTGAATCCATGATTACCAATGTTGGCACTGGTTTCATGTTCCACTTTCTGCTAAAGTGGTTCCTTTTCAAAATGCATGCAACTTCTCTTACGACTGATGAGAATTTGCATGTTTTTCTGCATTAAGTCTATACAGCCGGGTTGCTGCATAGAAATTTGAAGAGAGGTGAAAGCATTTATTGCTTTTTATTTTATATGATCTAAACCTGTAGAAATCTCCTAAAACTCTTGTGTACAAAAAGCCTGCCAGCTGACAGCATTGAGTCCTTACCCAGGCAGTTGGCTTGCTGTATTGTATCTGACCTTTTGTACAGGGTGTAACGGCCTCCTTCTACCTCACCAAGGAAGGTCGCTACGTCACTCCACTGTTACTCTTCTGGTAGTCTGCCACCATCCATCCCCTGCAATAAGTATCTTCAGTCCGGAATGGATTTCAAACAAAATAACTAAAGTTTATTGATTGGTACATTAAGATTGGTATAACAAATAAATCAGGTAATCACATAAAGAAAGGCTCTAGCTCACACAGACTCATATCTCCACACAATCTGATCACTATCTCATCTCAACCCTCACAGATCCTGATCTCCCCCTCACACACATTCACCCCCCTATATATCCCAGCTCCTCCCCCTGATGTCCCGCCTTCCGACCACCATTGGATGTTAACACTCCAGCCTAAACCTTGAAGGACAGGTGACATCATAGCTGTTTGTAACACAGGGCTCTTGCAAGTGATACATGGGAAGGATCTCTACCAGGTTAGGTTTGGTGTCATCTTCTATCACAACATCTATTAGGAGCAACCCTGCTTCCTCTCATCAAATGCCTATCGCCAGCATCATTTCTAATACCTTCAAAGGTCACTAGTATTTTAATGCAGCAGGGTTGCTAAGGTAAGGCTTCAGCTGAAGCAGAAGATCACCATATGGGGTGGAGAGGCTTTTTAAAACCCACATGTAGGATTGAGAGGCTGTTTAACTCTGTGCCACTGGCACTGCCAACCACCAGGGATTCTAGGAATATTAGTCTGAAAATGGTACTTTTCGAAACTTTGCCTTTGGGCTATTCTTCCACTGCCTGTCACCATATCTTGTTGCTCAAAAGTGTTAAAAACAGCCAATAGGGTTAGTTTGTTCACAGGAGAAGGTAAACAAAATATGAAGATATCATATGAGATATGAAGCTTTTCCCTGCATGAACTGGTTTTTGTGACATCAAGTCTACTTTGACCCTATGACTGAGTGACTTTCAGAATGTCCTTCCAATAAACCACTGTGGTGTAGAAGCAGACCTTGAGGTAGCACTTGTATAGTATGTGCAGGTTAATTAATCATATTGGGGGTTATTCCCCAATTCTAAAAAATTACATGTTTTTGCCTTTCTGTGTGAATAGATAATTGTCTTATTTCAATTATACAGTACTGATTCAATCTTTTTCATACTATTGTAAGTGGTTTTGCAAAGTATCCCTTGAATTTCATGACTAAGCAGTGCAATTTATTGCCTAAACTAGTCACGTCATTGAGGCCAGCCTAAGCATTATATTTCATTGGAAACGATGTACTTTGTGTGTGTCTTGCTGTCTAAAATAAATTAAATTAAAAGGTTGCTACTGCCTGTTTTAGGATTTGAAATGTCAGTGGTATGCTTTGTAGGAACTGGCATTAGGCTGCACACTGGGCAAATAAAATGTGTATCAATGAACCTTCCAAACCGTGAGACTTTCATTTATTTGATAGTTGCCATGAGGCAGCGTACTTAGCAGTGTAATTAATGATAGCAGAGTGCAAAACTGTTTGTTTGTATTCTTTATTGCAGGTGCTTAATACATAATCCAAGTTCTGCTCCATAGAATTTACTTTAGCCTTTTACTTTCCAAGGAATTGGTTTAATTAGATTTTGTCTAATGCAGATCTTGCTTAGCTTCTAACAATCCCTCTACCCCTAATAATACAACTTGGAATAAAACAAGACATTAAGGGAATGTCTTAAAGGACTCTTCTCAGAGATTTAGCTGTGTTCCCAGCTATTAACTTGACTGATCCTTTTTTCATCCTACAGTAGGTTTCTCTCAAACATATGTGCTTCAGCAATCAGCCTAGCAAATTAAATCCATATTCATACGATAACGGCCAGTCCCAAAACAGAGCATGCCAAATGCAAGATACGTAGGTGGAGGAAGATCACATGCCACTATTAAATTAATTTATCCCTCACTGAAGGGAGAACATTTTCTTAAAAGGTGTTAAACACATCACCAAGTTTGACCTATAGTTAAAGGAAGCTTTTGTTTATGTTATATTTTTCAAGTCAATAGATATGCCTGTTGAGCCTTACAGCTCAGAGTTCCTTCCATTTTAGATTCTTAAACATGCTGACCAGTGGAAAACAATGCAGTGAAACCGACCTGTTAAAAATGTGGAAGACTTGAAGAACAAAGCGTTAAGAATTGTTTCTGATGTAACGCATGCAAAATGCCCATACCTATATATCACTAACTTTTATTAGAAACTCATTTGTTTTGAAGTTAATTTACTCATCACTCTCTGATTCTCTCTGTGCAGGTTCCCATGATTCTGGTTGGCAATAAATGTGATCTGGAAGATGAGCGTGTGGTTGGCAAAGAACAAGGACAGAACTTAGCAAGACAGTGGTGTAACTGTGCCTTTCTAGAGTCATCTGCAAAGTCTAAAATCAATGTTAATGAGGTAATTATGGGCTAATATTTTCAAAAGGCAAATACAGATTTCCTTTATAGCATTGAGCCACATGGTCCCAGCTGTAAATAAACCTCTCCCTTGAATCCCATGGGTTTGAGCAGCACAGTTTTGGTTATAGACATTTTTTTTCAATATATGAATAAATAAATGCTGTGCCCCTGGACACCCAGAACTCCATGAATTCAACACTAAAGGCTGTTGATGGTCTTCTTGCCCCAAAACACAGCATATCTAATTCAGTCTCTAGATCAGGGGATCATAAGGACCTGTAAGGCTTTCATACACATGGTACTGTATGAAAAGGATTGTCAATGCCATGGAAGAGAATCCTAGTAGAGAGGACTTTTGTGTGTGTGTGTGTGTGAGAGAGAGAGAGAGAGAGAGAGAGAGAGAGAGAGAGAGAGAGAGAGAGAGAGAGAGAGAGAGAGAGAGAGAGAGAGAGAGAGAGAGAGAGAGAGAGAGAGAGAGAGAGAGAGAGAGAGAGAGAGAGAGAGAGAGAGAGAGAGAGAGAGAGAGAGAGAGAACCAACTGTTTTTGCTTTGTAGTTGTGTTTTCGGAGGTATAAGAGTTATACACAGATTTTGAACTCCAGTGCCCCTAACCCTAGCATTGTGGAAGCGAGAATAATATTCTTGGAAACCAATTGTACTGGCTCTTTGCACCTCTCAAATATATTTAGTTTTTATGTAATGTTGCATTCCATATTTTGGAGAAGTGCATTTCACATCAACCTCATTGCTGTTTTTGATGCAAAATTGCTTACAGCAGCAAATGGTGGAGTGCGTCAGCATTCACTTCTTTGATCTGTCAGTCTATCTGATTGATTCTGCTATCATGTTGCTTTAGAGAAAACAAATCCCATAGCTGAGAGCTCTTCTGCAGCTTAATCTAACTGCCACTTTTCTAACTGGAACTAAATGCAGTGTTTGAATGCTTTTGTCATATTTGCTTCACGTGTACCTGTACAGATAGGTATGTCATGCACTGTATTTCAGATTTTCAAAACAGAGTCCAAGAGTCAGAATGTAGGCCTCAGCCTTTTCGCTTTGAGTTATAGAATAGTTCACTTAAGGTACTCAAATTGAATATACTTGGGGGAAAAAGAAATTGCGGCAGTCATTTTGGTAGGTCTTGAAGTATAGATAGTGTACACAACCATCATGTTCTGAATATGGTGAGTTCACAGAGCAGAGGAGAAGCCAGAATAGGACATTAGTTGGTATGGGGGGGGGTGGCTTGTAAGGCTGAGGCAAAAGGGTGCATATTACAAAATGCTTCTCAGAACTGAAAAATGTTCCCGATTTTTTAAGGAGGCAGATGTGCTTTGACAGTGGATAAAAGTATTTCCCAACTCAGAACAAGGGCAATCAGTCAACTGGTTAGCTAAGATCATGCATGGTATGTCAGCTTTGTTAGCCCACAGTGACATCACCACACAATCTACTGTAACAATACATATGTTTTTCTTGTGGTCTCTCTTTGATGCTGGGGGGAGGAGACAAGCTACATCCCCTCACTCCAAAACCTTTTCCAAACCAGAAGGGAACAGGAGAAAATGGCAGTGACAGGTGTAACATGATCACCATGAAGAATTTGAGGATTCAATTCTCTCCCACCTTGGTTCCTTCTCCACCTGGGAAAGCTGCATTTTAGCTCAAAGATACAAATAGAAAAGCATATGATACAGCCCTAGATGTTTCTCCAGAATATGTGGAATCATTTCCAGAATTTTACTGTGTCTTTTGATTGCATACAAACATGCTTAAAGCCACAAGTGCATGTGTGTATGTGTGCACGTGTGTGTGTGTGTGTGTGTGTGTGTGTGTGTGTGTGTGTGTGTGTGTGTGTGTGTGTGTGTGTGTGTGTGTGTGTGTG